AAGCTAGGTGTTTATGTTAGTCACACTTTCAGCATTTGTTTTTACCTTTGCTGATAACTGAATAACTATTTTTGGAATTAATAGTCTTTCCCCCCACCAACACTAGACTGCCAAACTCTGTGAAACCAGGGACTATGCCAAGCTTATTAACTGGTATCCCAGTTTGATGTCCACCAACATAACTCAGTTTGTTCATTTATTATTCAACATATCACTAGTATTTATTCACAGCATTCCTCTGTCAAATGGAAAAAAAATCTTCACAGTACTTTTTGTTCAATTTGGAAATATATGTACAAATAGGAAAGTTCAGAAAGGCTTCAGTCATTAATACTAGACTCAGGCATTTAGCTTTCTTTTTTTATTTTTTGTAGAGACAGGGTCTTGCTATGTTGCCCAGGCTGATCTTAAACTCCTGGCCTGAAGTGGTCTTCCTGCCTCAGTCTCCCAAAGTGCTGGGATTGCAGGCATGAGCCATCATGCTCAGCTACATTTATCTTTTTTCCATCAATTCAAGAAAAAGTTTATTGCTTATCCTACACAAACCATAATTTATGGTTCCTCTACCTTTAGGAAATTTGCAAAACACTTTTTTTAAGTCAACTTCACAGAGGTATAATTTATACACAAAAAATGTGTTCATTTTAAGTGTATAATTTCATGAATTCTGACAATATATATTCTGATGTAACCACCACCACAATAAAAATTTCCGTCATCTCAGGCCCCACTGTAGTAAATCTGTACCCCCCAGGCCCAGACAACCACTGATCTACTTTCTGTCACTATAGATTATTTTTTACCAGTTCTAGAATTCCATAAAAATAAAATTGTAAAGTCTGAACTCTTTTGTGTCTGGTTTCTTTCACTCAGCATTATGTTTCTGAGATTTATACATGTGATGTGTACACTAGAAGTTGATACCTTCTTACTTTGAGTAGTCTTCCACTGAATGAATATACCACAATTTGTTTATTCATTTACCTGTTCATGGACATTTGGGATGTTTCTAATTTGGGGCTATTTTAAATAAAGCTGCAATGAATATTCAGGCACTAATATTTTTGTGGACATATATTTTCACTGCTCTTGAACAAATACCTACAAGTGAAATTGCTGAGCTGTACGGTAAGTGTTCGCTTAACTTTATAAGAAACTGTCACATTGCCTTCCAAAATTGCTATACCACTTTACCCAGTTGCCAGCGATGTTCCAATTCCAGAGTTCCAGTGGCTCCACATGCTTGCCAACACTTACTATGTCAATCTTTGCCATTTTACCCATTCTTTGGGGTGTGTAGTGGTATATCACTGTAGTTTTAATATATATATATTTCCCTGACAACTAATGATGATAAGCATTTTTTAATGTCTTATTGGCCACTTGTAGGTCTTGTGTGAAGTGTCTGTTCAATCTTTCGCCCATTTTGTATTGGGTTGTCTTATCTAATAATGACTTTTATAGGAGTTCATATATTCTAGATATAACTCCTTTGTTGTTACGTGTGGATGTTATACCTGGAAGTTCTGTTGCCATCCTGACTACGTGGAGAACTTGTATGAGAACTAGGCTCACACACTGACACCAGCAGGGCAGAAGGAGGAAATAAACCCTGCCTCTTTTTATCACCGAGCTACCCTGTAATCCAACCTTGAAACTACCACATTCACCTTCCTGTTATGAGAGATAGTAACTTCCCTTATTATTTAAGTTTTTCTGTTACTTACAAATAAAAGGATTCAGATACTGAGGTCCTTCTACTGCTAAAGTTTCTATGTTTCAAAGTTACTAGTTTCTCATTTTTACTCCCTATATTCCTTATGGCATATTCTGCAGTGGTTTATTCTTCCTTGTGCTCTTTTTGATTTTGGTTTTGTTCCTATGATTTTGTTTTGTTTTCTTCCAATTCACTTTTTATCTCTTTCTGAGTTCTTGCATTTCTCTGCTTTGCAGCTTTTCCTCATAGAAATGGCTACTTCATTAAGTATTTTTAAATTTACAGCAAAATGTATATTTGAAATTTTCATTTGTTCCAGGCCAACATACTTTCTGGAGTGTGTGTATCTTATCTATATTTTGATGCTAGTTTCCTTTTTACCATTCATCACTGAATAAGTAAGTTTCTCAGATTAGCTATAAGCAAAAGGTTAAGCTGGGGTGAGCAAGGCTATTTTCTAAAGGCTGGATGGTTTTAACAACAAATGCCCTCTTCTTTCCTG